GGTACAATCATAGCTCACTGCAGCCTTGAACCCTGGGTTCAGGTGATCCTCTCACCTCAGCCTCCTCCCAGTATACCTGGGACTAGAGGCACACTCTACCATGCCTGACTAATTTCTTTGTTTAATTCTGTGTAGAGACAGGGCTTCACCATGTTGCCCAGGATGTTTAGCAACATTCCTGGCCTCTACCCACTATGCAGATAGCACCCACCCCTCCACCAACTGTGACAACCAAAAATACCTTCAGACATTGCCACTGCCAAATGTCCTGTGGGATGGAGAGGAGAGCGATTCCCAGGCTGAGAACCACTGTTCTAGGCTGATGAAACAAATTTATTCTACACGTTGCTGACCTTGAAGTAGCATTGAACCCACCAGCTTATGGCACCAAGTTGGAGCTTAAGCCTACAGCCCAGGCTGCAACTCCTGAGTTTCCATACTGTGTACTACAGGAGGAAGAGTTTTAGGTGTCAAATATCCAAACACTTGCTTTTTAATAGGACACACAGTCTATAATAAAAAATGTAAAACTTTCAAACTAAAGCAAAGCATTTCTTGTAAGGCATGATCAGAATGGATGTTGGTGCATTCATTCATTTGTTCAGTAAATATTTGTTAAGGAATGCTTCTGAGATAGGTGATGCAGTAGGTGCTAGAGCTGATGCAATGGCAGACTATGGCCCTGCCTTTAAGAAACTAATAATCCTAGAGGGGTTCAGTGGAGGTATTATCAGTTATAAGTAAGAGAGGGTCCAATTCCAGCTGACTTAATCATGGGACTTTATTGGTCCACACATTTGAAGAGCCCACAGACAGTGCAGACCTTAGGTAAGGCTGGATCCAATGGCTCAAGGTTGTCACCAGGGCCTGGGTTTCCTTCAGTGTCTCTGCTCTTCCTTTCCTATTGTCAATTTCATCCTAAAGTGGACTTCCTTTGTCCGGCAGCCCGCAGTATTACGTGTGTCCTCATTTCTAGTAGAAGACCTGAAATTAACTTTGTTTGGACTACTTTAAGTTACCTACCTACCCTCGAATGAATTGTTGCCACCAGAGGAATGGAAAGTGCTGATTGATTGATTTAGCCAAGAGTACTTGCTTCAAGCATGGCACTAGTTTCCATAGAAATCACATAAATTCCCTGAAGGAGATCAGGGATTGCTGGGAGGGGAGAGAGAGAACCAGAAATACTGGGTGAATATGGGGTGGTCAGCCAGCTCTTTTCACACAGGCTCTGCCAGGTGATTTCATCTTGTCCCAAAGCCTTAGTACCATTCCTGTGGGTTTCCATGAAAGTCTTATTGCAGCACTCTGGGCTTTACACTCTGCTTTCCCCTCTGAAACCTCATTCCATCCACTCTTCATAGTGACCCCTTCTCTCCTTTCAAAGCTCAGTTCAGTCAGATTCTCTGAGGCTTCTTTTTTTTTTTTTTTTTGAGACAGAGTTTCACTCTTGTTACCCAGGCTGGAGTGCAATGGCGCGATCTCGGCTCACCGCAACCTCTGCTGGGTTCAGGCAATTCTCCTGCCTCAGCCTCCTGAGTAGCTGGGATTACAGCATTGTGCCACCATGCCCAGCTAATTTTTTGTATTTTTAGTAGAGATGGGGTTTCACCATGTTGACCAGGATGGTTTTGATCTCTTGACCTCGTGATCCACCCGCCTCGGCCTCCCAAAGTGCTGGGATTACGGGTTTGAGCCACTGCGCCCAGCCACTCTCTGAGGCTTCTTCTACCTCCCTGAGCCATACTTCTTTCATACTCCCTTAGCCCTGGTACTACCTATGTCTCATACCTGGTCAGGTTTCATATTCCTGCTTCTCCAACTTTAAACTTACATTCTGCCTTTGAAGAGTTTGGGGTCTCCTAAATCCCCTCTCTTTAATGCCTAACAAAGGAATTGAGAGCTTTGATGGTGATTCCTTTGGTATCCCCAATTTTAACAATAAGATGGTTAAAATGTGTGTGGTGGCCAGGTGTGGTGGCTCACACCTGTAATCCCAGCACTTTGGGAGGCCGAGGTGGGCAGATCACGAGATCAGGAAATCGAGACCATCCTGGCCAATGTGGCGAAACTCCGTCTCTACTAAAAATACAAAAAGTAGCTGGGCGTGGTGGTGCATGTCTGTAGTCCCAGCTACTTGGGAGGCTGAGGCAGGAGAATTACTTGAACCTGGGAGGTGGAGGTTGCAGTGAGCCAAAATTGCACCACTGCACTCCAGCCTGGAGACAGAGCGAGACTCCATCTCAAAAAGAAAGAAAGAAAAGAAAAGAAAAGAAAAAGAAAGAAAGAAAAGAAGGAAGGAAGGAAGGAAGGAAGGAAAGAAAGGAAAGAAGAAAGAAAGAGGAAGAAAGAAAAAAAGAAGGAAAGAAGAAAGAAAAAGTACGTGTGTAAAACAGAGTGAGCGAGAAGTCTGGAGCTGTGGAAACAGCACAGGATTTATAGTCAAGACAGTCTGTAGGCAGGCAGTCCTGGATTTAAGTCTTGGATCTGCACCTTTTCAGATCTCAGACATTCACCAATGGATCCCTATTTGATTCTTTCTTAAGAAGTTTGTATAGTGTGTTACACACTCACTTTCTATGACTTTTCACGCTTGTGAGTATGCAGTCATGGCAGTGTTATTTGTTTACACGGGGCACATTTGGCCAACAGTACATTAAATAAGTACTTATAAGTACTGCTATAGTTGAGGTCCCTAATAGTGGTAGCTTTGGCTAAGAGAGAGCAAACAGGGACAAAGAGAAAAGCTCAGGCCTTGAACACATTTTTCCCCCTTTTGGCTGAATGTGGTTCCCAGATCTGAGGTGGAGTGGAAGGAGGAAAGTGTGGCTTGTTCCTTCCACCTGCGCTTCTGCCTGATCACACCTTCTGAAGTCCTACCCTAATGTAACCATTCAGTGTGTGCCCATGGTGCTCACATCAGCCCTCCATGCACAATGTAACGATAAGAATGACAACAATGTTTTGGTTTTTTTTGAGACAGGGTCTCTATTTCACAGGCTAGTGTGCAGTGTTGCAATCTCGGCTCACATAACCTCCACCTCCTGGGTTCAAGTGATCTTCCCACCTCACTCTCCTGAGCAGCTAGGATGAAAGGCACACACCATCACACCCAGCTAATATTTGTATGTTTTGTGAAGGTTGGGTTTCGCCCTGTTGCCCAGGCTGATCTCAAACTCCTGGGGTCAAATGATCCACCCGCCTTGACCTCCCAAAGTGCTGGGATTATGAGCAGTTAAGCCACTATGCCTAACCTATTTTTTTTAACATAATGCTTTTAAACTTACTTAATGCATTTGGGGCAGGTTTAATGCATAAAAAGTGGGAAAAGGTAGAGGCCTGGGAAGATATCTAGTTGCATTTTCTATAATATGAAACATGGCCCTCTGAATGCGCTGTCAACACATCTGTCCTTATAAGTTTCCCTGCTTTAAGCCTCAGTTCAGTCACCACTTACAAGAGGTTCCTTGATGGGAGGGCTATTTCTCCAGTTTACTCATTGATGTCAGCCCTCCAAGTTGGGATATGATGGGCTGAGGAACCCTGAGCTTTAGACTAGCTAAGTGGTGGAACCAGCTGTTGATCGACTGTCCTCTGATGAAGCCCACATCAGTCACTTAAACCTTGACCCCAGGAGGTTGAGGCTGCAGTGAGCCATGATCACACCACTGCTGCCCCGGTGCGGGTGACAGATACCCTATCTCAAAAACAAACAAAAATATGGGAATCCCAAGTCTACTCTATTTTTGTAATAGTGGACACATTTTCAGAAAGGCATGAGGACTTTTCTGAGTCTGAAAACCTAAAATTCTCTAATTGACAATTTTGAATATCTTTGGGAGGAAATGCACAATCCATGATCAGACTAGAATATACTGAGAAAATAATTTATTAAATTGTAAATTGGGAAATTTTTTAATAAGTTTAGTAATAATGATTAACGATATCATGAATTTGTCCATTGGAGATTTAAATTTTAATGAAGTTTTTTAAAAAATCAAGAAATTCCCTTAAAAGTAAACGTTAGTCCTTTGCTCTAAACTTTCAGGGTAGATTATTTCTTTGGTTCAGGACTTAAACCTTTAAACTCTCCCTACTCCAGACTGAATCCAAGACAATCTGACTAATAGAGAAGCAGGAGTCTCAACAGATGTGTGTGAGATTTTCTAGCAAGAAATGAAGTAGGAGGCACAGAAATACTTGAGAAAAATCTGAGTTTCATTTTATCAAAGAAGCTCATTGCAGTATATATCAGGCTAGTACAATGACTCTTCAAATAAATTCCCTGAAAAAGGAAACAGGCCGGGCATGGTGGTTCACTCCTGTAATCCCAGCACTTTGGGAGGCTGAGATGGGCGGATCACTTGAGGTCAGGAGTTCGAGACCAGCCTGACCAACATGGCGATACCTCATCTCTACTAAAAATATAAAATTAGCTGGGTGTGGTGGCACATGCCTATAATCCCAGCTACTTGGGAGGCTGAGGCACAAGAATCCCTTGAACCAGGGAGGTGGAGGTTGCAGTGAGCCAAGGTTGTGCCAGCCTGGGCAACAAGAGCAAAATTCTGTCTCAAAAAAAAAAAAAAAAAGGAAAGGAAAAACAGAAAATGAAAACAAATGACCTTGATTGGAACACAAGCAAAATATAAATATATGTGCATATGTACATGTTGCCTCCTAACTTCCTTTACATTGATTTGGTTAACTTTAAATAATATGTAGGATTTCACAGCTTCTCTTAGAGAAGGGAATTGAATGTTAAGCTGTTCAGTCATGATAACTAGATCTCCCATTGTTATGGCTCATGCTTTTGTTACAAAATCAGTTAACCATTTTGCCAAATACGTCTAGTTGTTACACTTTCATAGTGCAGGTAGAGCAGGAGAAAACAAGAGGTTACTTGATGGGAGGGCTATTTCTCCAGTCTACTCCTTGATGTCAGCCCTCCAAGTTGGGTTATGATGGACTGAGGAACCCTGAGACTGGCTAAGTGGTGGGACCAGCTGATGACCAATCGTCCTCTGATGAAGGCCACATCCTGGGAACAGAACTCCTTGCAAGCCTCTTCAGTCCACTGCAGGCCTTCGCCTTCTCTGACACCATCCACATCTCCTTGCCAAGGATTTGAAGATGCAAGTTGCAGAGTCTGGTAGACTGAATACCACTTAGGCAGAACAAGAAGCATCTTCTGTTCAAGTCCCTGCTGCTTGTCATTCATAAGTCAATGAGGCTGGAAATCACCCAGACTTCCTCCCATTCAGTGCCTTGATTCATGATGTATTTAAGCACCAACCCCATGCCCTAAGTGCCTCCAGGATGGCTCTGCCCCACAGTGATGGCTCCTCTCTTTCACTCGCTCTTTGCTGTTTCATGGCAAACTCATGTCGAGGCTTTGCTTTTACTTCACTCTGGGCACCTTGGCTCATTCAGATTCCTTGAGACTCCGATCATGCACCACCATGATATCTACTGGGACACTCACCAATCTTTCACACGGAAGCCAAACAACATCCTGATGAGAAAAGGATGGACTACAGATGGCCTGAAGCAATCTGCTGTTGAAACCTTTTGAGGATTGCCAAGGTAAATGGTGTCTTTACTGAGAGCTCTGCTGCAAAGTAACTCCATGTTACTTTAGACCCACCAGAAATAGGCAGACATTGAACTCAAGGGACAACCCCTTACAATCATATCTTGCTGCCAAACGCTTCCCTTAGCACCCTTTTCTCCAGCATGTTATCTGGCATGCGTAGAGTGTTTCTGGCTTTATCTTTGCCTATGACAAGTTCTTTTTGATTCAGTTGATAGTATTTCCCCCAAACCCAGAATAGATAAGAAATCACTAGGAATTTACATCTGATTGATCTAGATTCATTCTCCCACATTACAAGGCCCCACGTTACAAGGAGGAATGGTATGTGTTTGCCATGTTGGTGTTTCATTAGTATTTTTTTTAAGTTGAAATTAAGTGTTACTTTTCTGAGGAAGTTGCCAGAATACTCCTCTCTCAAATTGATAAATCTACTGGCACAATTTGAAGTCAGACGTTATTTCTAACCAAATTATATTCTTTTGTCTGCCATGATAGCTTGACAGTTTTAATATCTGAAGGCAGGCCTATATGATAATCCCAGCAGTATTCTGGAGATAAGATTTTAGAGGGTTTGTTGAGAAGGAAATACTTGTTTAGGTGGCTTTCATCATGCCACTCGGCTTCTATGTCATTTTTCTTGTCCAGGAGGATTCCCTTAAAGCACTCCTGGGTGATGTTGAGAACCTGAATGGGTGTTCCTCCAAAAATGGCTGCGTGGTAATAAAAATCCCCCTGGCCAAATGGAATATATGCTGCCGACTCTTTCCGCCTCTCATAGGTAAAGTCATCAGGATCTGCCTTGTAAAACCAGGCCTGTAGCTGAGCCACCGACTGGCCCAGGGTCTCCACCCCAAAATGGTCTTGGAAGACCTGGTCCACATCCATGCAGAAGAGGAAGTCAACCTCATGTTGGATGTGGGCCAAGATGTGCTCCCCGATGGTCTTCATACGCATCATGCTGATGTCTTGCCACCTCTTCTCTGGTTTGACCTCAAACACTTTGAAGGAACGCAGAGGATCCAGCTCTATAAACGGCACCTTGGAGACATCATCCACCATGACGTAAAATATGACTTTGTGGCCGACCATGAAGTACCTATTAGCAGATATTACGAACTCCTCCAAGTAATGTTCAATATACCTGAAACAAAGAAGAAAAGCAAAACATTTAACATCTGGGATTCCTGAAAGAAACCACATGCTATGATAATCAACTTGTCTATATTTTATGGTTAATAGGAGAATGATTTCTTCCCACCCCGGGTGTGTTTTCATGTCAGTGCCACACCCCTGGTTATTCTCCACCATTTAGTCACTCAGTCCTTGGGGAGCTGGAATGACTTATCTGACTGCCAGTTTTGGAAGAGCAACTAGAACTAGACATGCACTACCTTGTCCTGCCTCTTCTCTGGCTCTTAGAAGCCAGCCAGTCCAAAAGAGCATGTGTTCTCAACCGCTCTGGGTTTTGCAGGAAGCTTACTGGTACAGGATCTATTCCCAACATCCAGAGGCCTAGAGGTGCCTGGATGCCTCAGTCTTTCTAACTCTGGGAGTTGAATATTTAGGAGACCCAGGGCCTGCAGATATAAGCCACATTCTCCAATATCAGCTTTAACTATAATGAAGGTGATATTTACCGCCCTCTGCCTATTTTACCCCTTTGTATAATTTACCAATTGGTTCAGATTTTGGACAAAGGGGCTACTAGTTCTTGAGCTCCACTCAAAAGCCCTAACATAAGCCCCAATGTGGTTACTGCCAGACCAGATTCAAGACTGATGTGACCCTTGGAACCACTGGGATGCATTAAGCCCAAACAGCAGCACTCTCTTGTCCTCCTCTGTGATACGGAGAATGAGTTACAAGATCTAGGTCTGCTTTCATGTTACGTAGTTAACCTATGAGCCTCCCACTAGTCACCTAAAACACCAATCCATTGTCCACACACCATCATTATAAAGTCCAGATACTAGAGTGAGCAACCTCTGATTTAACCTTATTTTAACCACTTTTTCTTTGTCTTAAAAAAAAAAAAAGGAAGCCGGGTGCGGTGGCTCAAGCCTGTAATCCCAGCACTTTGGGAGGCCGAGGTGAGTGGATCACGAGGTCGAGAGATCGAGACCATCCTGGTCAACATGGTGAAACTCCGTCTCTACTAAAAAAAAATACAAAAAATTAGCTGGGCATGGTGGCGCGTGCCTGTAATCCCAGCTACTCAGGAGGCTGAGGCAGGAGAATTGCTTGAACCCAGGAGGCAGAGACTGCAGTGAGCCGAGATCGCGCCATTGCACTCCAGCCTGGGTAACAGGAGCGAAACTCCGTCTCAAAAAAAAAAAAAAAAAAAAAAGGATGGGGTTAGCAGTAAGCCACATTTGGTGGTTGAGTAAATGGAGATGAAAAAAGAAGATAAAAAAATTAAAAGAAATTTTTTAAAAAACAACAAGGAAATAAAGGACTACGTTTTTTAGAGCAGTTTTAGGTTCATGACAAAATTGGGCCAAAAGTACAGAGAGTTCCCACACACCTCCTGCTCTCACATTTGCACAGCCCCTTGCTGCTATCAGCATCCTTGTACCAGAGTGGTACATTTGTTACAATCGATGAAGCTACACTGACATATCACTGTCACCCAAAGTCCATAGTTTACATTAGGGTTCACTCTTGACGTGGGACATTCTAAGGGTTTAGACAAAAGTATAATGACATGTATCCACCATTATAGTACCATACAAAATAGCATCACTGTCCTAAAAATTCTCTGAGCTTTGCTTATTAATCCCTCCCTCCCTGAACATCCCCTCACAATCACTGACCTTTTTACTGTCTCCATAGTTTTATCTTTTCCAGAATGTCATATAAGCACACAGCATGTAGCCTTTTCAGTGTGGCTTTTTTTTTTTTTTTACTTAGTAACATGCATTTAAGATTCTTTCGTATCTTTTCATGACTTGATAGCTCATTTCTTTTTAACACGGAATAATATTCCGTTGCCTGGATGTGCCATAGTTCATTTTTCTATTCACCTACTAAAGGACATCTTGGTTGCACCCCAAGTTTTGGCAATTAAAAAATAAAGCTTCTATAAATATCTATGTGCAGATTCTGTGTAGACATAAGTTTTTAACTCATTTGGGTGAATACCAAGGAGCATGACCGCTGGACCGTATGGTAAGAATATATTTAGTTTTGTAAGAAACTGCCAAATGGTCTTCCAAAGGGGCTGTACCATTTTGCATTCCTACCAGCGATGGATAAGTGTTCCTGTTGCTCCACATCCTTGCCAGCAATTGGGGTTGACGGTGTTTTGAATTTTGGCCATTCTAGTAGGTATTCAGTGGTATTTTAACTATTTATTCATTTGAAAAACATTTTATTGGTGTCTTCTGTAAGCCCAAGCTGTAGACTATCTTATGAAGCCATGGTGTGGAGATTACCAGGAAGAGGAAGAATAGACCAGATGGCTTAATACAGCTTGATCAAACCCTAAACTCACGTGGACTGAATTTAATGTGCTGACCACACTACTGGCCAATCATGGTGTATTGTGAGTAATAATGACTGGCACTTCTTTTTTTTTTTTTTTTTTTTTTTTTTTTTTTTTGAGACGGAGTTTTGCTCTTCTTACCCAGGCTGGAGTGCAATGGTGTGATCTCGGCTCACCGCAACCTCCGCCTCCTGGGTTCAGGCAATTCTCCTGCCTCAGCCTCCTGAGTAGCTGGGATTACAGGCACGTGCCACCATGCCCAGCTAATTTTTTGTATTTTTAGTAGAGACGGAGTTTCACCATGTTGACCAGGATGGTCTCGATCTCTTGACCTCGTGATCCACCCGCCTCGGCCTCCCAAAGTGCTGGGATTACAGGCTTGAGCCACCGCGCCTGGCCTTGACTGGCACTTCTTTTCGCTTTTTGTTGCTGCTTGGATTTCCTTTCTTTGTTACCAAAATAAAGTGTGCTTTTAATGTTGGCACATGGTAATCCAAGGTTTATAGTACCGATTCTTTAAATGGAGAGAATATATCTGAGGAATATAAAAAGGGACTTCAACATGGCTCTGTGGCTAGCCGCCAGGAAATCCTTCAGTATTCTGGGACTTCAAGAAAAATCTATTGTGCCCTGAAGCTTGGGAAACAATACTGGGGTGGGGTGGGGTGGGGTCGAGTGCAGGGGAGAGTCATTGTGAGGTTTCACATTGTTTAGCAATTAAAGCACTGCAGTTGGCTACACGCATTGTTGCTTGAAAACAAACCAAACATCACACCTCCTGAAAGTCCAGATCCACTTTAGAGATTTATTGCTGCTGAGTACAAACAGTCCTCTCTAGCCTCAGAGCTGAGGACAGAGTGCTTTCATCAGGATGTGCACTTAAAGTTTAGTTCTGCAGAGTTGGAACTAGATGGCTGAAGCCACTGTGGGGCATTGGGGAATGTTCTGTTCTTTTTGGAAACACCAGGATCAAATCAATCTGCAATATGGCTGGGTTTTGTGGCAAAGGATTAGGTAAGCTGAGCACTGGCTCCCGACTTACACTAGTACAGATTCTTCCAGTGAACATGTCAAAACTCCACAGTTACCCTTCTCTGTTAGAGACACAACTTAGGTTCCTAGGATCAGCACATTCAGTGACATTAGAACTTGATTGGTATTTGTTAATGACAGAACAGTAATAGCTGCTGGGCTCTGGGTTGGGGAAGGTTATCTTTGGAGAACTATCAGATCTTTACAGAGCTCTGTTTTAAGCCCCACCTTGGCAAAGCTCAGATCAACTTGAGTCTTCAACTTCCATTATACAAGGCAAGGGAATCAACTTTCCATGAGGCTTCTTCAGAAGAGATACAGACAGAAAGCCCCAGAGGGCAGAAAAAAAAAATAGGAAAATTGGACTTTCAGTTTTATTTTGGAAAAAGAAAAAGGGAAAATTCTCCAAAAAAGTAAAATGGATTATCTTTAACAACTAATATTAGAGCTAGAACTTTCAAGTAAGAATGATTGCAGTTTTTCTGCATCGTATGTTCTGAACAAGGGAGCTGAAACTGGAACCTATCCAACCTTTGGTAGAGCAAGCTCTGACCAGCCAAATCTCTTGGGGCCAAATCCTCCATGAGGGAAAAAGTAGAAGTGATCTGAGGAACCCACGGAAGAGTGGTCATCTGTGTTCCAGCATGGAAAACCACTGTGCTCAGGTCACTCTGCACCTAGAACTTGCTATGAATCTCTCTGTAGTTGGTCCTGGGCCATAGAGCATAGGAAAAAGAATGATGCACTCGGGGCTGTCTAGCAGCTAGCACTTGTGGAATTTCTAAAGGAAGCCACAGTGGTCAGGGAGGTGGTTGTGGGTATGCTGCTGACCCTAGGTTCGGTGGGTGGAGCAGACATTTTTTCCTGCAACCCAAGGCCCTCATTTTGAGGTGGGAATGAATGGAGTTACCTAGTATTATTTTGTTCTCAGCATTTTAGGGCCTCAGCAGAAAGGAGACTGAAACAGTCCCATGAAAACATTCTCCTATCGAATCAAAAAATCATGGCTGGCCTCCATCAGTTCAGGAGTCTCCACACTAACATTTTGATAGTGGAACAAGAAAAAGTCTGGACAGTTTTATCAGTGACACCTACCTTCCAATAGCAAAAACCGTCAATCCCACGGTAATTTTCTGTTTGGCATAATAATTTTCTAGGATGGCTTTGTTGTAAGTGCCTTCCCACACAACCGGCGCCTTCCATTTGGTCACTGTCACAACCTCTGGGCGTTTCCTGGTGATAAAACATAAAGTCCCCTGAGTCAGGGCAGCTTTGCCATTGTGGGGCAGAGACTTTCCAAGGAAAAGGGGGGTCAGCTATGATCTGCAGGGACTGTCCTTGAATCTTGACTGTAGCTTAACCCCAAACACTTGGCTAGGAGGTGTGCCATTTGCAGGGGTAGCATCTTCTGGGTGAGGAAGAGGAGGCTTTGACTCAGGTGGCTTTGAGGGTTATTTTTTTTCCTTTTTCTTCTTCTTTTTTTTTTTTTGAGATAGCCTCGCTCTGTCACCCTGGCTGGAGTGCAGTGGCATGATCTTGGCTCACTGTGCAGCCTCCACCTCCTAAGTTCAGGTGATCCTCCCACCTCAGCCTCCCAAGTAGCTGGGATTATAAGCATGTACCACCATGCTTGGCTGATTTTTGTATTTTTAGTAGAGATGGGGTTTCATCATGTTGGCCAGGCTGGTCTTGAACTCCTGACCTCAGGTGACCTACCCACCTTAGCTTCCCAAAGTGCCAGGATTACAGGTGTGAGCACTGTGTTCTCTGAGGGCTACTTTGGGGGGCCATTATGAGGCGCTTAACCTCTACATCTCATATTTTCTTTCCTCTTCTACTTTCTTTGTTCTCTTCCTACTTCTAAATCCCTTACCCTACTTCCCCAGCCCCTTCCTAAACTACCAGTAGCACCCAAGGGTGTTATTTATCCCTGTGGATGTCATCTGAGCTTAAGAAGATCCTAAGCCTTGATACAGGCGGATGAGAGAGTGACATTAGATTTGAAAGAGAAAAGGCTGTTTCTGGCCTTTTGTCAGAAGGGATATCTGGGTGGGAACCTGGTTATTGGCCAAAAAGAGCCCCAGATTAAAGGGATTTTGATGTTACTGCTCACTTAATAAACAAGGGACAAAGGTGCCAGAAACGAAGGGACTTCATAGAGGCCCACCAAGGCCAAGGCTGGAGCCCAGGGCTCTGGCGAGGACCTTCTTCTTAGACCAGGAGCCTCTTAACTAGGAACACAAAAGGGGCGAGAGGGAGGGTGCTTTGCTGTGCTCAGAGAGCTTGAACTGGACTTGGCGAGGCCAACACAAACACAGGAAGCAATGACAAAGCACAAAACTGCAAAGCCCTGAAGGGTAAATACAGAAAGCACAGAGCGGCGGCGTGGGCCAGCATGAGGGTGGAGCTCCAGGCAGGGGGAGGCTCTGACTCTTCATTGGCCTAGGTGGTGGGGGCATTTTCCCCCTTGGGAAGCAGAGACTGGCACAGATCATTTAAATTCAAACCCCAGTATGGGCCTGGCACCCTGCTTGGCATTTTCTTGTACTTCACTGGGTTCACTGTGGGCAGCATCTTGATTCAACCCTGGAAAGACATGTGACTGGAGCAAAGTCCTGGTGATCCCTGCTGGCTGCACTGGCTCTTGTAAGGCTGTCAGGGAGAGGTTAGCAAATACCTTGGGTCAGCAAGGCCAGTGGAGGGCTGGGTTTTCACAGAACCACCCTACTCATCAGCAAAGCTGGGTTTTCCCACAGAGAGGCTGATGAGCACAGCTGGGTCACCTCCTGCCTCACCCTAGCCTCAGAATGGAAAGGAGCCTCAGTAGACTCGTCTCAGGCCTTCTGTCCTTATCCCCAAACAGTACACTCTGTAGTTCCTGAGCTGACTCTGCCCTCCCACCCCAGCCCCAGGCATCACACCTAGTCTGCTTCCCAGGTTCTGTCACAGCTGGAACTGGCCTACTACCCCACTGCTGGAATTACCCCAGGTTGGTCCTGATGGCAGAGAGCGGAAACACTTTCAGGGTGCTTTCTTGGTTCATCTCATCTTGTCTGGAGTCTCAAACTCTAAGACTTAGCTCTGCCTTCAGCACCCCAGGTACGCCTGCTGCATGGAAGACAGTTGCCCTTGGTTTCCTTCTGTCATGAAAGAAGCTACCATGCACTCTGCACCAACCTGTGCAGTACATCATGCACACTTTCTCATTTAGTCGCTGCAACAGCCCTGCAATGTATCATGTTCATGGTCCAGATAACAAAACCAAGTCTCAGAGCAGCTTATTATCTTGTTCAAGGCCAAGCAGCGGTCACTGATGATGGCAGCTAACACACACTGAGCAATTCCTGTGGGACCAGACACTGTGCAAAGGGCTCACCCTTCTGAGGTAGGTGCTATTTTTATTCCCATTTCCAGTGAAGAAGCTAGCACAGAGAAGTCAAGTAACTTGCCTGAGGTTGCACAGCTAGTGCTAGGTTAAAGCTGGGATTTAAACAACATCATCTGACACTGGAGTCCATGCTCTGAGCTGAGCCACCACCTACACTGTTTCTTATATGCCATTTCATTCCTCTGCTGATGAAGTTGCGGTTAAAACCCAGTTTTGTCCTGATCTAAATGTAACAGCCTTTCCACTTAAAAAATAAGCCAGGCGCGGTGGCTCACACCTGTAATCCCAGCATGTTAGGAGGCCGAGGCAAGTGGATCACTTAAGGTCAGGAGTTCGAGACCAGCCTAACCAACATGGTGAAACCCTGTCTCTACTAAAAAAAATACAAAGTTAGCCAGGTGTGGTGGTGTACACCTGTAATTCCAGCTACTTGGGAGGCTGAGGCAGGAGATTGCTTGAACCCGGGAGGCAGAGTCTGCAATAAGCCAAGATCACACCATTGCACTCCAGCCAGGGCAACAACAGCAAAACTCCATCTCAATAAATAAATAAATAAAAAGGAATTATTTTTATTTGCATTGGCATTTTCGTCAATTCGTACTGAGAAGTGATGAGCCTTTTGTTGTTGTTTTTACACAACAGCATCTGAGCAGGAAGGAAAGCATCTGAGCAGCTCTTTCCTGCCACTTTTTCCTTTCTTTTTAGTACTCCACCTTTGTGATCTAGGACTTCTTCCAACAGCACCATGTTGTAGCTTACATGGTGCTTTCAGTCCTGTAAAACGCTTAGCTTTGTTGAATGATGAGACTGCAAACCAAAAACCAATAAATAAATAAAAAACCCACACAGCTATCTTATACTTCTGTAACTGTATCTGAACTTAAAACTGTCTTCTTCATTGCACCTAATTCACTGCATCTTAGTTTTAGCCTGTCAAAGATCTTTTAGCAGTTCTAACCTAGCCCCCTAGCTAAGTCTTGTCACTTTGTATAAACTGGATGTTAGGTGATATTATTTTTTTAAAAAGGAAAAAGAGGAATAGGTATAGTTATTTAATACTTATGGTGCACCAGGAGCTAAGTGCTTAACTTTTATTCTCTCACTTAATCTTCACGACCACTCTATGAAGTGGGTGCCATCATCATTCCCATTTTGCAGATAAAGTGGAGGGTAGGAAAGAGGAAGGGAATGGAGCCTTTTGCTATTTAATTTATATAAAGGACCCAGCTGGGGTGGCTGATCCCTTGATGCACATTTCCCAGTTCCCTGGCCTATACCAGGTCATCCTACTAAGTGCCAAGATGGGAGATATGAGACCCAGTCCTTCCCCATGAGAAGCTCACAGTCCCAACAGCTGGTGCACCTGCTACACACTCCTCAACCACATGATCACTCGGTCCAGGTCTTCTAGAAGAACTGAGTCAGAAAACCAGAGCCCACTTTAATTACTTGGCTTCCTTCAAGTAGGAAGAAAAAAGTAGCAATCTTAAAAATTAATGTTGAATTAAAAATTAAAGCAGTCTATTTCCCAGCTGTTAATTATCTGATTCCGCTGACAATTCCAACATGTCAGTGACCCTGACTACAAAGCCACACAACAGCCTGAAAATGCAGGCAGGCTGGGGAGAAGGGGGAGGAGGGAGAATGAGATCAAGATCTGCTTCCTGCATGAACCGCTACATGAAGGAGTCTTAGTCATCAAAAACCACAAAACCCCCCAAAAAAAGAAGTGATGGAGGGCAGCTCACGCATATGCCAAAGCTAGTCTTTGACAATGTCAACTGCCAGAGAAGTCCTAGATCACAAAGATGGGACACTAAAAAGGAGAAGGGAAAAGTGCCAGGAAAGAGCTGCTCAGATGTTTTCTTTCCAAGTAGGGCATGCAATGATGTGATGCCAGTGTGTGCAGTTCCACAAAATATTTCCCCCAAATAAGAGGGCTCCCTAACCAAAGCACACACCTGCCTAGGTTATTGGCAGCTTTTAAATTTTATGTATTTATTTATGGTACATTTTGGTACCCAAGGGTTGGGTGGAGGACGCATTAAAATTCTATGAATCATGCAGTAGGTTTAAAAAAGATGTGGAATACATACAACAACAACTACTCTACTACTACTACTACTACTATTATTATTATTATTATTATTATTATTACTTGAGACAGGTTTCACCTTGTCACCCAGGCTGAGTGTAGTGGCACGATTATAGCTCTCTGCAGCTTCAACTTCCCAGGCTCAAGTGATCCTCCCACCTTAGCCTCCTGAGTAGCTGGAACTAAAGGCATGCACCACCACATCCAGCTAATATTCGATTTTTTTTGTAGAGACAATTTCTTATTTTTTGTTTCACTAAGTTGCCTAGGCTATTCTCGACCTCCTGGACACAAGCGGTCCTCCCATCTCAGACTCCCAAAGTGCTGGAATTACAGGCGTGAGCCACTGCACCCAGCACAACTCATTACTGACTGAATTCCCTCTAAGCAACAGCAGGCTGGCTATACAAGGATGCAGAGAAAAGCTGATGGCAACATGAACAGGGATGGCAGAGCGGCTGTGGAATGGAGAGAAGGGGATGAAATGGAAAGGATTTTGGAGGAGGAATTAGCAGAACATGCTAATGAATTAGACTGTGAGACAGATAGAGGAAAAGGTCTCCCACACTGTGTGGCTTGAGCTATTTAATGGGATGGAAAGTGAGGGGAACAAGGGTGGGGAGGAATTGAGAAATCCATTCTGGCCATGTGAGACATGCAGAGATGTCAAGCAGGCAGGTAGACACAAGTCACAGCTCAAAGGCAACATCTGGGCGAAAGATTTAAATGTGGAATGGTCTCTAATCTCACTAATGGTACCTAATGCCATGAAAATGGAGGAGAGCACATTGGAAAATGGTGTATAAAGAACAGAGAAGAGGATACTGGATTTAGCCCCTATAAACTCTAATCCCTGACAGCTGGGAAGAGGGAGCTGCCCCATCAGAAAACAGTCACAAATGAGGATTTGGTGTCATGGAAGCAAAGCGACCTTGATATGGAAATATGCACAATATATCATGGTTTCAGGTAGTTTATTAAAAAGGACACTTTTTTTTTTTGAGACAGAATTTCGCTTTGTTGCCCAGGCTGGAATGCAGTGGCTCAGCTCACTGCAACCTCTGCCTCCCATGTTCAAGTAATTCTCGTGCCTCAGCCTCCTGAGTAGCTGGGATTACAGGTGCCTTCCACCACACCCAGCTGATTTGTTTCGTAGTAGAGACTTCACCACGCTGCCCAGGCTGGTCTTGAACTCCTGAGCTCAGGCAATCTGCCCGTCTCAGCCTCCTGAAGTGCTAGGATTACAGGCATGAGCTATCATGCGTGGCCGAAAAGGATAAATGTATACAAAGTATACTTATTTGTTCATCCATTCCTTCATCCAATCATTCATTTATGCAAGAAATGGACTTAGGTACCCTGGGAAGGCTTACATTTGGTGCTACTTCAAAGCAACATTCTTTAAATAATCTGCTTGTGCCCAGGCACGGTGGCTCATGCCTTTAATCCTAGCACTTTGCGAGGCTGAGGCAGGGGATCTCTTGAGACCAGGAGTTCCAGACCAGCCTGGGCAACATGGCAAGACCCCATCTCTACAAAAAATACAAAAATTAGCCAGGCGTGGTGGCACATGCCTGTGGTCCCTGCTGTGTGGGAGGCTGAGGCAAGAGGATTACTTGAGCCTGGGAGGTGAGGGCTACCGTGAGCCATGATCATGCCACTGCACTCCAGTCTGGTTGGCAGAGTAAGACCCTGTCTCAAATAAATAAATAAATAAAAAGATAAATAAAAATAAATATCTGCTCCCTATTCATTTGGAGGTAAAGCCATGCAAGGGGGAGAGTAAGAGCTTAAGAGACAGTAAGAGCTGGTGACTGTGGTCTGTCCCTCCTCTCTGCCCTCAATCATTCAGCCCCAGCCCTACCTCCCAAGTCCTGCTCAGCAAAGCCTAAGTGCCACAGTAAAATTGCCCTATTCTTCTTAGAAGGGCCTTTGGGGATCATCTCTAGCCCATCTAGCCTGCCCCTTAGGGATTATCACTCCTCCATCTAAAGGGCTTTATCAAAGCAACAGTGTTTCCATCTTCTCACATTTCTATTAGTGGTTTAGCATTTCAGAGATGCCTACCCTGTCATGTAGATCATCAAACGACATATGGGAAACCAAAATTCCCTTCCCTCCACACTGGCATGGATCTCTTATTCCCAAACAATAAGAGAACTTGCTAGAACATAGTCTTCCCAGAGCCCAAGATCCTTCACAATGGGATAGATGCTATTTTCAGGCCGGGCACGGTGGCTCACACCTGTAGTCCCAGCACTTTGGGAGGCCAAAGTAGAAGGACCACTTAAGCCTAGGAGTTCACGAGCAGCCTGGACAACATAGTAAGACCCTACCTCTACAAAAAGAATTAAAAATTAGCTGGACATGGTGGCACACACCAAGCCTCCTTACTCAGGAGGCTAAGGTAGGAGAATTGCTTGAGCCCAGGAGCTCAAGGCTGCAGTGAGCCACGACTGCATCACTGCACTTCAGCCTGGCCTCAAAATAAATAAAAATTAAAACTTTTTTTAAATGATGCCATTCTCTCCTCATTATTCTGATGATCATCTCCAGCATGTACCCTCTGCCAAGCTCAGGAGTACCCTGTGACTCTGTCTAGATGTCCCATAAACACCTGCATCCATATGTATTCTTAATGGAGCTCCCCGCCTCCCCCAGCTCTGAGGCCTGTGCTTCTTCCTTCAGTCCCCTTCCTGGCTAATGGCACCACTGCTCACCCGTCTCAGGTGTCAAAGTCACCCTGGACAGCTCCCATCTCCTCACTCCCAGAACCACATCCTTCCAGTAGATCCTGCCTCCTACCAATCTAGGCAAACACTGGTTTTACAGTGACAACCCCTATAAAACCATGAACTTCTCAAATACAACCACGTTGATTGATTTCTCCTCTCTTCTGCCTATCACAATGCGTAGCACAGTGTTTCTGACCGTAACTCACAGTGAGAAATATATTTTACATCACAATCAAATATGTGCACATACCCATAAGCCTAGTGTTAAATATCTAATATGCTAAGGCTCTTTCTCCCAAATAAGGAATGTTCTCAATGGCACCTGTTGCCTCCACTGCCACACCACCTCCTGCAGGGCCACGGATTTGCTGCACAGCGAGTGACGCTGCTTTTCTTACTTTGGATTAAACCAGTCCCATAGCCGAAGCTCTGTTGTGTCATCTTCCTTTCTTTGTTCCTCCTCTCTTCCTTTTGCTTTGTCTATGTCTTCTTCCTCCTGTTGATAATTGTGGATCCTAAGTCCAAAGGGAAAGCAAACCAGGTAAGGCAGGAAGGTGACTATGGTGGTGGGAGAACTGCTGAATTATCTTGTGAAAATGCATTCCAAGGCAGATTATGCATGCACTAAGTGAATTGACCAGAAAAAAAAACCCTCTAAACATTAAGTGTTTATTCATGAAAACATATTTTTGATGAAAAGATGCAGTACTCACCTCATTACCCTTCCAAGTCAGCACATTAGCAATTTAATGGCATAAAAACCTTCAGGTTATTTCAGGGGGGTGAGGGACACTTGATAAGACAATTCTTCTAAGAACATTTTAGTTTATAATTGTCTTTCCTGCAATCTAAACTTTAGCCCAGGGCTGTGCATGGTGGTTTTCACCTGTAATCCCAGCAATTTGGGAGGCCGAGGCAGGCGGATCACCCGAGGTCAAGAGTTCGAGACCAGGCTGGCCAACATGGTGAAACCCCACCTCTACTAAAAATACAAAAATTAGCCAGATGTGGTGGCAGGTGCCTGTAATCCCAGATTCTTGGGAGGCCGAGGCAGGGGGATCATTTGAATCCAGGTGGTGGAAGTTGTAGTGAGCTGAGACTGTGCCATTACACTCTAGCCTGGGCCACAAGAGTGAAACTCCATCTCAAAAAATTAAATAAAGAAAGAGCCCAAGCCTCAGCTCCCAAGTTAACTGAAACAAAACAAAACAAAAGACGTATTTAGCTGGGTTTGGTAATGCACACCTGTAGTCTAGCTACTCAGGAGGCTGAGGTAGGAGGATCACTTGAGCCCAGGAGTTCGAAGCTGCAGTGAGCTATGTTTGCCCCACTGTACTCTAGCCTGGGTGACGGCAAGACCCTGTCTCAAGAGCAAAACCAACCCTCAAATGTCCTAGTCTCACTCACAAAATATTCTTCATGTAATTTCAGTAAGCAAGAAAGATGAGTGACTGAGAAGGTCATGAACATGAAACCATCGTGTATGGACCCTCTACAAGCATCAGGTCGGTGGGCAAACACTGATTGCTGTCTGATCACCTTACCCATTGTTAAACCAGCCAGGAAACCACCAGCCCTTCCGAGCGCTGCTGTTATCAACTTCTGGGTTTCTAAGAAATGGAAAAGATTACAAACATTTTTAGAAAATGTGGTAGTCCCCAAACTTGGGGCTTCCAAATTCTTTTTATAGCAGAGATTACTTTTAAAAAAACCTAAAAAACTGAAAACAGCCAATTTATTAAACAGACAGCAATGAGACACTCTAACTGAATGAGAGAGAACAGACCTGACGCTCTCTCAATCTCTCTTCCCTGGGCAGCCCCCAGCCCTCAGCTCATTCTGGGGGCCCTAGAGGAAGAGAAGGGAAGAGGGGGCTAGAGTGCATTAATGCATAAGCCTGAGTCCTAGATCTGCCACTAACTAGCTGTGTAACTGTGATACAACATTTTCCCTCTCTGAATTTTGACTTTCTCCTCCAAAAAGTATAGTTAATAATGCTAATAACAGACCTACCATCAAGGTAATTTTGAAGACTGAATGAAATAGCATACATGAAAGAGCTTTATGAGTTGAAAATGACTGTAACAAGTTAGAGTCTTCATGAAAAACCAATGCATGTTTCCAAGAATCATCTCTTTAGCTAAAACCAGCAGAATTCAGATTGTTATAAAAGTCTAGAGAAAAATTCGGTTTGCCCAAAGGTTAGCAGTGACAGCCTCAGGAAATCTGGGGGTCCCTGAACAAGAAGTTCAGAAAACTACTTGAAAGCCACTGTAGCCACCCATTTGAGAAAGTTTCCACACTCTCATTCATTGTGAAAGTCTCTTCAATGTGGGGGGCCTGGCACAGTGGCTCAATCCTGTAATTATAGCACTTTGGGAGACTGAGGGGAGCCAATCACCTGAAGTCAGGAGTTCAAGACTAGCCTGGCCAACACAGCAATACCCCATCTCTACTAAAAATACAAAGTATTCGCCGGGCATAGTGGTGGGTGCCTGAATCCCAGCTACTTGGGAGGCTGAGGTGGGAGGATTGCTTGAACCCAGGAGACAGAGGTTGCCGTGAGCCAAGATCACACTACTGCACTCCAGCATGGGCAACACAGCAAGACTCCATCTCAGAAAATTTGAAAAATATAAGAAAAAGAAAAGAAAGCAAAGAAAAGGTAGGGGGCTACTGGAGAATGGGGAAAGAGGAAAGCCGACGGATACAATGCCCTTCTGTTGGACAAATGAGGTGGTGAGGTAACTCATGAACAGGCATAATATTATGAAACCTGTTTTAAAGCCCATTAACTCTTGGAAGTGTTTGAGATGGCTTCCAATATATAGGTACAGTAAACAGAAAAACAACACAAGACTAAAAAACACAAGAAAGAACGGAAAGAGATACGTTGATTTCGTCACCCAGGTATGTATTTTCACATGACCTCGGTCATCCCAAAGAAAAGTTTCACCTTTACTTTCATTTCACAGCCAAGATACTGGCTGGATGGATATGAGCAGATTTCCGAGGTCACATGGCATGTGGGCATAAAAGCCAGGATTTCACGCCAGGGGATAAATGACATCAGAAATGAAGGCTGGGGCAAGTACCAGCAGTTAAGTGCAATACTTGGCTCTGAGCTTTCTGACAACCAAGCCAACACTAGGAAATATAAAGGTTTACATGGGTCTCATTTTGTTTTCAAAAAATAAGAAAAGAAAATGTTGAAGATACATACTGGTTTCTCAAGAGACTCAATTTTTTTTTTCCTGATTCTTATTCTCAGAGCAATTTCTTGCATGGGTCTTTATATAACATTTAAAGGGCAGAATAATAGACAGTATCTCCCTAGATACTTTTCATCAGCAAGACAGGAATGTTTTCAAACCACAGCACTTAAGAGAAGTCTGAGGAGAACTGAGGGCAAGATGCAAGCCATGGTTCTATATCGATAAGTCTAGGGAGGCTGCAGCAGTAACATTCCAGGTCCCCAGGAATCCACCCTCCCCCTCCGACTTTGGCAGAGTACCACGGCTGGCTGCCGTGTGAAGAACGGACTGTAGGGGGTGCCAGAGTGGGAGACATCCACTAGAAATCTAGAATTCAGCGCACTTACTTTGAGTGATATATCCACAAGAAAGAGCCTTCTGGGCTAAAAGCAAGAGAAATAAAAACATATCATGTTTCTTTTAATTCTGAGAAAGGCGATTTTGTAACCATTATCACTGAGCCTGAGGTTGAGCTGAGAGCCTGGGTTTTAGCTGCTTCCATGTTTCCTGTCTTCCTTTGAGACATAACCAATGACACCAGGAGACTGGAAATTTCCACAGGATCTCAAGGGGAAAGGGTTTTCTGGAAAATCTCAAATTGTGTGTTTGTGTGTGTGTACTGTAGAGATGGGGTTTTATCATGTTGCCCAGGCTGGTCTCAAACTCAGGAGATCCACCCCAGTCAGCTTTTCAGCTTCCCAAAGTGCTGGGATTACAAGTGTTGAGCCACCACGCCTGGCCTCAAATTCTATTTTTTTTTTTTGTTTTTTTGTTTTTGTTTTTAAAAAAGAAGACAGCTCTCCATTGCACAGATGGGTCCTCTCCTGCCACCTACTTAGGTGCCTGGTGATGACAAAGGCCCTGGAAGGTGGAAGTACCGTGGCCCAGACATCATTCCCCCAGGATTTATCTTCCCCCAGAAAACAAAGCATCAACTGTAGAGCCTAATGCCATGGCCAGCTCAGAGCCTTCTATAGGACAGCCCCCAAAAGCACTTCTTTAACTAATGAAGGCAGTGAGACTCTTAAAGCCCTTACAAGTCCTGCAACCTGGCACTCAAAACCCTACCTGGCACTCAGGCCATGGATTTACAGATTCAGGTTCACCAACTTTAATATATCTTCAACAACCCTTCTTATCCTCCTCCCTCAGAATCCTTCAACAACACAATGGTCACAGCAATATCCACATTGCAGTGGGTTTTACATATGTATTCATCCTTCAGGCTCCACTCAAATGCCGCCTTTTCTGTGCCTTGCTTGATATGATCCTAGCACAGTGCCTAGTACATAGTGGGCACTCAATAAACATTTGTGAATGGATCCAAAGCAATGGATCCTCCTCCAAGCCAAACATAATTTTTGCCTCCTTGGGCTCTTTTTATATTTTTTTGAGACAGAGTCTCACTCTGTTGCCCAGGCTGGCATTCAGTGGCACAATCTCAGCTCATTGCAACCTCTGCCTCCTGGGTTCAAGCAATTCTCCTGCCTCAGCCTCCGGAGTAGCTAGGGCTACAGGCTCACACCACCACACCTAATTTTTGTATTTTTAGTAGAGACAGGATTTCATGTTAGCCAGGCTGGTCTCAAACTCCTGACCTCAAGTGATCTGCCTGCCTCAGCCTTCCAAAGTGCTGAGACTCCATCTCAAAAAAAAAAAAAAAAAAAAGAATCGGAGGTAATGCCAAAGGTCCTGGTACACGCAAGCATTCAATAACTAGTAGCTCCTATCGTGATCACTACCATCATGATTATTTCATCATAATTTTGAAGGTTTCCTCTAATTTTACAATGTGAAGGTTTTTCTTCATCCAGCCTCAAATCAAATGCTATCCTAGATGATATTCTTTCAATATGCTTTGCTGACAATTCTTCTATTTACTAATTGGTTGACATATTTGAATGAGTTTTTAATCCTTTCCAGCTTAGTGCTGCCAACCTGTCTAAGGTTAGTGTCCTCAGCTCCCCTCAAGCCATCATGGGGCCAATTCATAAAGTGGAAAAAAAAAAAAAAAAACTCCCCTTGAAGTTTCTTGCAGATATTCAAGTGGATTCTGCATATCAGAGGATGTTGGGGCCAGAGTCCAGGTGCCAGATGATTGGCCTGAAGAGCAGCCAGAACCTGCTCTGGCCACTGTGCAGGGAGAGTGTGTCCAGAACTGAATGTAACCCTCTTTCTGAGAGGCAGCTGCAGACATGCAAGTCTCAGCCTTTGGCTCAGTTATGCACGTACAACTCTGGCTATGATTCCAAACACCAAAGTTATCTAATCAAGTGTTCAAACTCAGAGCTTGAAGGTTATCCAAGCAGACATTCCGACTCCAGGCAGGAACCCCAAAGGGCACTTGTTCTTCTGTTGGACTCTTCCAACTGCTAGAGTTCTTCTATTTGCCAAAATTCCCTGTCTTGTTCTGCCCTCTGGAACAGATCATGATGAAGATGACTGTTAGGGAGTGAATGTTGTATCTCCCCAAAATTCATATGTGGAGGCCCTGACATTAGTGTGATGATATTTGGAGGCAGAGCTTGTGGGAGGTAATTAGGTTTAGATGAGGTCATGGGAATAGGGCCGCCATGAAGGAATTAGTGTCCTTACAAGAAGAGGAAGAGGCAGTAGCTTACTTGCACTCCATCACGTGTGGAGGAGGTGGCCATCTGCCAGACAGGAAGAGCCCTCACTGGGAATTTTGGACTTCCCATCCTCTAGAACTGAGGACTTAAATTCCTGTTGCTTAAACCACCTTGTGGTATTTGGTTACAGTGGTCTAAATTAAAATTATGACGAAGAAGAAGAGGCGGAGGATGACAGCTAGCATTTATTGAGTGTTTATTAAGCTCTAGGTATTGCTTTTAAGTGCTTTATACACAATAACTTATTTAATTCTCCCAACAACCCTATAAGGCAGGTAGTACTTATAGTCCCTCCCTCAACTTTTTTTTTTTGAGGCAGTGTCTCACTCTGTCACCAGGCTGGAGTGCAGTAGTGGGACCACAGCTCACTTCAGCCTCAATCTCCCAGGCTCAAGTGATCCTCCCCCCTCAACCTCCTGAGTAGCTGAGAATACAGGTGTCCCAGCACTTTGGGAGGCTCAGGAGGGCAGATCACCTGAGGTCAGGAGTTATAAACTAGCCTGACCAACATGGTGAAACCCCGTCTCTACTAAAAATACAAAAATTAGTTGGGTGTGGTGGCACATACCTGTAATCCCAGCTACTTGGGAGGCTGAGGCAGGAGAATTGCTCGAACCCAGGAGGTGGAGGTTGCAGTGAGCCGAGATTGCACCATTGCACTCCAGCCTGGGCAACAGAGCGAAACTCCATCTCAAAAAAAATTAAATAAAAATAAATAAATAAAATTAATCTAGGGAAACTAAAGAACAGAGTGGCTAAGTAACTTGTCCAAGGAGCAGCCTAGCTCTAAAGTCAAAGTGAGAAACTTCCTTAGCCCTCAATTTCCTAAGGAAGCTCTAGGGTACCCACACCAAACTGAGTCATCGCTTCTTTGGACTCAATCCCCTCAGTTTTCTCAATTCAAAAGACCTAGTTTCCAGACCCTTTTAACTTGGTCATACTCTAGTTTGTCATGTTTTCATGTTTTTCTTAAAATGAGTTGTGCAGAATGAAACAAAGGAACATTCCAGAAGTGGTTACATCTGTGCAGCACCATAGGGACTAATGGCTCCAGCATTCTGAGATTCCTTCTGCTACTGATGCACCTAAAGGCACGGTTCCATTTTTAGTAACCAAGTCAGTCCTCCTAGCTCATCAAATCTTAGAATTTAAGTATCAAAAGAGATATTTGAACGTTAATCCAGGAGACCATCTTGAACTTGGGGGCCAATGAAACACTCTATGAAAATACTAATGGTACCAAAATAGCTCTGTACAACTTGGTTGTACAATAGACTTTTTGAACCTTAAGGCTGAGCTTTTCCAGTCTTTTGAGTTAAAGGCATCAGGCATTTCTGTGGCTGCTTGTAGAGACTTCTGTCAGAAGCCTCTCCAGCTGGAATCTCCAAGGCATTGTAGTTTCAAAAAGCACAGAGGTGGCTCATATATTTGGGGTGAATCCACAGATGAATTTGAAAACTTAGAAACGCTTAATTCATTTTGCTTTTCAAAGTTAAAAACACACACACATTCCAAGGTTTTAGCCAGGCACAAATGAATCACCAGCAACTCAGTATGTATTTTGCAGCAAAAGTCAACAACTAAAGTTGCTCCTTTAAACTCTGCAAATATTTTAGGATTTCAAAATTCAGGGTGGATTTCTCAAATTCCTGTCTGAAATTTCTTAAGGTAATTTCTGTATTTTTGATTATGTAAGTTATTTAAAATTACATTGGGCTTAATTTGATCTCATTTTCTCTGGATCTAGCCTATTACAAAAATTACAATATTAGGAACAAGGCAGGAAGGAAGATAAGTAGTTAGCCAGAAGTCACTTGGGAGAGCTAATGATTTTAAGGATAGTCCAGGGCTTAGGGATTTAGGAAGGGTGGAATCCCTTATTTTTGGTTTTGGTTAATCCTAATTTCAATTCAACCTGGTGACTTGGATGATACTAGTGGGATAGAATCAAAGCAGTATTTTCACCCACATTATCTCATCATGTTTCATAATTACCTGTTGATATATTCCCAAAACACAACAATCACAGTTGAGACAACCAGCATTGACAGAATTACTTTTCCTTTGACATTCATTATTTTCTCCTAGGAAAAAAGAAGGGGGGGGGGGAACAGATTAACTCAATGAACTTCAGAGAAGGATATGGTTTTTAAAAAATGCTTTTACCTAATTCTTTCTTCTTATTATTATTATACTTTAAGTTCTGGGATACATGTACGGAATGTGCAGGTTTGTTACATAGGTATACACGTGCCATAGTGGTGCACCCATCAACTTACAATCTACATTAGATATTTTTCCTAATGCTATCCCTCCCCAGCCCTTCTGACAGGCCCCAGTGTGTGATGCTCCCTCCCTGTGTCCATGTGTTCTCATTGTTCAACTTCCACTTATGAGTAGAATATGCGGTATTTGGCTTTCTGTTCCTGTGTTAGTTTGCTGAGAATGATGGTTTCCAGTTTCATCCATATCCCTGCAAAGGACATGAATTCATTCTTTTTTATGGCTGCATAGTATTCCATGGTGTACTTATGCCACATTTTCTTGATCCAGTGTATCACTGATGAGCATTTGGGTTGGTTCCAAGTCTTTTCTATTGTGAATAGCACTGCAATAAACATACGTGTGCATGTTATTTGATAGTACAATGATTCATAATCCTTTGGCATATACCCAGTAATGGGATTGCTGGGTCAAATGGTATTTCTGGTTCTAGATCCTTGAGGAATCACCACACTGTCTTCCACAACGGTTGAAGTAATTTACACTCCCACCTAATTCTTTCTAAAAGGATACATTTAGGAAGAAATAACTAGAGCTGAGGAGTCTGTTCTACCTGGAATTGCATAGACCTGCAGTGGCAGATCAGGCCAATTTGATTAACAGAGGAGGCCGCCTGCATTGGGAAGGGTGCTAAAGCCACCCTGGGGCTCAGAGGGAAGGTATCCCTACCTGCCATGGACATAGGAGATAGTGGGAGTAGCTGTACATGGTTCCCAGGGACTCCTGTAGCATCCCAAGGCTGATGGCCCCACCTTTCGCGTCACAGTTGTGAGGAGCCATCCCATCCCCAAGCTCCATGCCCTTGGTATGCTGATAAAACATTCTCTTGCCAGGCGCGGTGGCTCAAGCCGGTAATCCCAGCACTTTGGGAGGCCGAGGCGGGCGGATCACAAGGTCAAGAGATCGAGACCATCCTGGTCAACATGGTGAAACCCCGTCTCTACTAAAAATACAAAAAATTAGCTGGGCATGGTGGCGCGTGCCTGTAATCCCAGCTACTCGGGAGGCTGAGGCAGGAGAATTGCCTGAACCCAGGGGGCAGAGATTGCAGTGAGCTGAGGTCGCGCCATTGCACTCCAGCCTGGGTAACAAGAGGGAAACTCCGTCTCACAAAAAAAAAAAAAAAAAAAAAAAAAAAAAAACATTCTCTTGATCAGAGGGGAAAATGACCCTGAGTTTATAAACTAGGCCTCATCCACTTCCCAGCTACCCCCAGCATAGCCCCATCGCACTCACAGGCAAGCCAAAAAGTGGTGCACAGCAGGTGCATAGACATTTCCTGATCACTTCGTGAAATTGCTTAATAAAGCAGGGGTGCTATGCGAAGATCAACAGGCTGGGAGCACGTCAATGTGGGTGACCAGGGAAGGCTTGCTGTGGAGGTTAAAATAAAGCCAAGTCCTAAGGGATAAAGAGGGATGGGAAAGGATGAAAAGCACCACAAGAAGGAAGGAGACTATTTTGGGAGCAGCATCTGTAACAGGCTGACAGGAGAAAAAAACTTCTTGTATTTAAACAGACAGCATTAAAGAAGAAAAATACTCTCACCTCAGCATGGCTGGATCAAAGAAGGAGTGCTAGTTGGCAACAGGATGGTGGATGGAGCAAATAGACCATGAAAAGCATGGGCAGGAGGGGAGGGAGCCACAAGCACCTCAGAAGCCAGGGAATAACTGGATCCAATTTCATGCAGGGATGCCTGTCTGTACGCTGGGGCGTGGAGGGTGGATCAGAGCTGACAGCAGAGTGGAGAGTGAGGTGGCAGACTACTCTGATGGCCAAAATGAAAGGGTGACTGTATTGCATATATGTTGGCTATACGTTATGATGTTTTCACATCTTCGAAAACCTTTCTAGCTGGGAAAATAATGTCCCCTTCTAAGACTAGCCAGTTCTTAGAGATAGCAAGGGCTCAGCTAGAAGCGTGCCTTTGATAGACAAACAAACCGATCCTGAGCTGTAGATCTTCACCTGCCCTGCACACCCCAGGAGGCAATATGACTTGGCCTTAATCATCCCATCAGGGCCAGATACTAGACAACTAGGGGCCACCCTGAGAGCTGAAAGCCCTCTGAAATTACTCAAACTAGTCCATCCTAAACTGTTCACCCCACCCTGCCTTTCCCATGGAAACCCCAATCAGGTCTCTGGCCTCAGTCTTCCCCTTGCTCCCTGTCTTCTGTCTCCTGACCACCCTTGTGTCTTTCCCACGGGGTCCCAAGTGGTATGCTGTGCCTCCTGTCTTTGGGACCCGTGAGCATAATAAACATTGTTTTTTCCTGAGCCTTTCCTGTGTTTCCTCTTGTGATCACACTGGACTGACCATCACATAAAAGAATACAGAACAGTGGCGTGTGTTAAAAAGGAGTTAGAGAGCCTGGAGCAGTGGCTCACGCCTGTAATCCCAGCACTTTAGGAGGCCAAGGTGGGCGGATCACTTGAGGTTGGGAGTTTGAGACCAGGTCGACCAATATGGAGAAACCCCATCACTACTAAAAATAGTGGTGGCACATGCCTGTAATCCCAGCTACTTGGGAGGCTGAGGCAGGAGAATCACTTGAACCGAGAAGGTGGAGGTGGTGGTGAGCCGAGATGGCACCATTGCACTCCAGCCTGGGCAAAAAGAGTGAAACTCCATCTCAAAAAAAAAAAAAAAAAAAGGAGGTAGAGAGATGGAAAGTGGTAGATTAATCAAAATATACTTTGGCGGCCAGGTGCGGTGGCTCACACCTGTAATCCTAGCACTTTAGGAGGCCAGGGCGGGGGGATCACCTGAGGTCAGGATTTCGAGACCAGCCTGGCTAACATGGTAAAAGTCTGTCTCTACAAAAAAATACAAAAATTACCCAGGTGTGGTGGCAGATGCCTGTAATCCCAGCTACTCAGGAGGCTGAGGCATGAGAATCCTTTGAACCCAGGGGGTGGAGGTTGCAGCAAGCTGAGACTGCACCACTGCACTCCAGCCTGGTAGACAAGAGCAAGACTGAGTCTATACACACACACACATACACACACCCCTTGGCAAGAGGATTGATAGGATTTGGCTGGTTATGTAGGTGTGAGAGACAAGGGAGAGGAAAGAGGCAAGGCTTCTGTCTAAGCAGCCAGGTGGACAATTGTAGCATTTTCTGAGATGGCTTGGATGGAAGAGGAATAGGTCTGAGGGATAAGAATCATGAGTTCTCACTAGGACATGTTAATTTTGAGGTGTCTCCACACCCCTAAATGGAGATGACGATGGGCAAATGGACACTCAAGTCTGAAGTTCAACAGAGATGTGGGCTAGACATGCAATTGGAAGAGTTGTCCACATATGGAAGGTAGTTAATGTGAAGGAAATGAATGAGGCTGAAGCTGCCTTTGCAAAATTGTAACTAAACAAATTATGACAGTGAAAGGCATCAGACTTAACCAATTCCATCTTGCTTCTAACCTTTAAACTGTCATCCATTCCTGGGCGTAGGCTCAACTAGCCTTGGGAAGGAATTCAGTTTATAGTTTAAATAATAGCCCTTCCCAAAAGCTAAACTGTTCTTGTAAAACAAATGAAACGCCACCAGCCACCAAGTTAGAATGAGAGAGGCTGGAATTCTAGATATTACCAGACATTATTCCAGAGGTTATGAGATTTTTGGGGAGACTGATTTGAGTTATAATGAAACTCGGGTCTCTGCACAGCCTGTTCTGTGTCAGTCACTCTTTATCTTTTGCACTTCCCCCGTCTTGATAAATCAGCTCTGTCTAGGCAGCAGGCAAGGTGAACCCCTTGGGCGGTTACAAGGTTACCCTGTGAGAGAATGTAGAGAGAGGAAAGGGAAGGAAGCGGGCCCTGGGCTGAAGCCTGAAAATGTCAACCTTTTGAAGTAGGATAGAGAAGGAGAAGCCCAGGAGGGAGGAATAAAACCAAGACTGTGCACCTCTGGAAGCTAAGAGGAGACAGTAGCCAGCCACACACCAAATGTCATTGCTTTGTGAAGCCACATCCCACCCCCACCCAACCTCCAGCTGAGTTCCCCTTCTCTTTTTGGGCTTACCCTGTCTCAATTCACGTTGCTATACGTGTTGTTTTTGGAAGTAGCTCTGCCTCCAGTATCAGTCTGTGAGCTTCCTGAGGGCAGGAGTTGGGTTTTATTCATCCCTGAATCCCCAGTGCCCCACAGAGAACAGATGAGGCACTCCATTAATGTTTGCTGAGTGAATGAAATCAAGTAAGAAAGATACTTCAACTTGTCCCTCTGGACACAGGTCATTTTCTAATTCTTTTCAAAGAGATTTCTTAGATGATTCTAGTCTCAGATCTCGTATCTTACAAATGCTTTATTTATTTATTTATTTATTTATTTATTTATGTATTTATTTATTTATTTTTGAGACTGAGTTTCGCTCGTTACCCAGGCTGGAGTGCAATGGGGCGATCTCGGCTCACCGCAACCTCCACCTCCTGGGTTCAGGCAATTCTCCTGCCTCAGCCTCCTGAGTAGCTGGGATTACAGGCACGCGCCACCATGCCCAGCTAATTTTTTTTGTATTTTTAGTAGAGACGGGGTTTCACCATGTTGACCAGGATGGTCTTAATCTCTTGACCTTGTGATCCCCCGCCTCGGCCTCCCAAAGTGCTGGGATTACAGGCGTGAGCCACCACACCCGGTCACAAATGCTTTATTATTAAATCCAGTTAAAAAAAAAGAATGAGATCTTCAAAAAGTGAGCTCTGTTTGGAAACAAAAAAGCCAGGGCTAAATTCAATGTCATAACCCAACCTCCAGCTTTCCATACAACTATAATGGGCAGTATTCCAGAG